TCCATAGTTCAACGGTCTTGAGAAAAAACAAAAACATGGCGGTCGAAGGCGGGACTGTTTCTCACTATTATATTTTGGTAATTCGCAAATTTATTGATTTTATGTCGCTTTTCAGACATAGTGTGTGGTTTTCTTTTTCTGTTAAACAATTTCTCTCTACAGAGTTTGGAATATGCAAAATATAGCTCCGTACAGCTGATGAGAACCGCCGAAGAGTTGAGCTATCAAGCAGTGTTTTGCTGCAAACCTTAGGAAAGTTAAAGTCGCTTCAGGTACAGAGCTTTCAGTAGTAGTTCTGATTTGTTTATTAGGATCGTTTTGAATTTAACTTTGGATTCAAGGTGTTGACTGATCGTAATAAACGAAGTGAAATGTTATGAAGTGTGAATGTTTATTCAGTTATGATTGTAGAGCTGTAAGCTCATATTTATAAAGCTCCCTGAATATACTTGCTTCCGATAAATTTGACACTTTCAGCACTTATCAGCATCAAGTTATCCTTACCCGGCAAAAACGATGTAACCTATAAATCGATCGAGCGCATTGTTGTTGGTTAAGATCTAACACGGTTTTCCCCGCAATTTCAGTACCGAAAGACAAAGATGTATGATATCATTTTTTTTTAATTTTTAACTTTCCTGATTTCCTCTGCCGGTTCGCTTCTTGCTTCTAAAAAGTCTAAAAATATTTACTGTGGGAAAAGTTCTTCAATTATCCGCTGACCACCACTAGGGGTGACCGGTTGCAAGTTGTGAAAACATCGTTTCTAGGTCTCAGACCTCGTCTCTTCGCCCCCTGTCTAAATGTCTTCAACGTCAACAGTGCTACAGGTCTCTTGAAGGAAAATAATATCATACCTCCGTTCATTTAGCCAGGTAAAAAGGGTTTTCCTTTTCGTGGCGGATCGAATCCCTCGCACATTAAGAGAAAGTAATTTAAAATCAAAAAGTTCTTTCATGAATGGGATCAGGAAGAAAAAATAAATTATGCGCATACAAATAATTTTCACCGCAGTGGTACAAAAAATTGAAAAGAAGTAACAACTGAGGAGCAAAAACACACAACACGTAGGTAGACAATACACACAAAACGCACAAATACTCACAAAACAAAAAACAATAAAGGAAAAGACAAAAGGACAAATAAAACAAAGAAAAACAAACAAACAAAGAATACATTACAAAACGAAGTTTTAAGAAAGAGCGAAAAAAGGCAGCGAGGTAATTATTACCTAAGTATAAGACGCTGCCACAGAGCTTGCGACAATCGTTTCAACTACACCCAATTGTTCTAACCTACACATGACACTCCCGTTACAAAAACAGACTGATGAAAAGCATAAACAAAGTCAAATAAAATAAACTAAGTCCAAAAAAAAAACCTAGATTTGTCTATAAGGGAACAAATCGTCCATCGATAAACAATTTATCGGGTTCTGGTTTGCTAAAGAAAGCATTCTTTCTCTCCTCTCTTGCTTTTGTGAGACGTGGACACTGCTTTTTTCTTCTTTCGTTTATTTCTTTAGGAAAATCTGCGTAGACCTTAATATCGATATCATCCGCCAGCTCGCGTACTCTTCGAAAGACCAGATCATGATCACGTTCTGGAAATCTCAA